ATCACAGCTCACAGCAACCTCCAACTCCTGAGCTCAAGCTATTCTCTTGCCTCAGCCTCCCAAGTAGCTGGGACTACAGGTGCCCGCCACAATGCCCAGCTATTTTTTTTTTTTAAGAGACAGTCTCATTTTACTGCCCTCAGTAGAGTTCGGTAGCGTCACAGCTCACAGCAACCTCCAACTCCTGGGCTCAAGCGATTCTCTTGCCTCAGCTTCCTGAGTAGCTGGAACTACAGGTGCTGGCCACAATGCCCTGCTATGTTTTGTTGCTGTTTGGCCAGGGCCGGGTTCGAACCTGCCTCCCCCTGTATATGGGGCCGGTGCCCTACCCACTGAACCACAGGTGCCACCCAGACTTAGACATTTCTAAAATGAAAACTATAAAAAATCTTCCTTCATATTGTATATGTTTTAATATGTTTATGTATTATGTATTGTGTCTACATGGTAAAATCTAGCAAAATCAGCCATAAATCTTATTTTGAGACAGAGTCTCACTTTGTTACCCTCAGTTTAGTGCCATGGCATCATAGCTCACAGCAACCTCAAAATCTTGGGCTCAAATGATCCTCTTGCTTCAGCCTCCCTAGAGGCTGTGACTACAGGTGCCTGCCACAATGCCTGGCTATTTTTAGAGATGAGGTCTAACTCTGGCTCAGGCTGGTCTGGACCTCTTAAGCTCAAGCAATGCACTTACCAGCCTCAGCCTCCAAGAGTGCTAGGATTATAGAACCAAAAATCTCTTAAATTATATTTAGATAGATGGATGCTCATATAAAATAATGGCATTTGGTAATTAACCCAAATACCTTTAGTTCGCATGACTTAAGTAAATATCAAATAAATAACCTGGCTTTAAAATTGTTAAAATAAAAATAGAAATGTCTTCAGAACTGTCAACAAACATGTTTGCCTGGATTTATTGGTCAGTTTTATATTTGCCTCTGCTATCTAGTTTAAGATGCCAGGGTTTGACATGAAGGTTGTATAACTATAAACCTAGACTAAAACTGAATGATCTTTGTATAATTTTTTGATGAGACAAATTTAATTTTGTTGGTTTAATGAAAATAGCTGCATCTTCTGACTTATTAGCCAAATACCCATATATTTATTTATTTACTTTTTTTTCGATACAGAATCTCACTATGTCGCCCTCGGTACAGTGCCGTGGCGTCACAGCTCACAGCAACCTCAAACTCTTGGGCTTAAGTGATTCTCTTGCCTCAGCCTCCCAGATAGCTGGGACTACAGGCACCTGCCACAACACTGGGCTATTTTTTTGTTGTTGTAGTTGTCATTTCTAGCTGGGTTAGAACCCACTAGCCCCAGTGCATGTGGCCAGCACCCTAACCACTGTGCATGGACGCTGAGCCCAAATACCCATATATTTAACTTTACAGTTCTTACGTAGGTGAACACCTTCTATTTACGGAGTATAAAAATGGTTAACAGAAAACTAACTTGAAATGACTAGTTTTGTTTAATCTTTCAGCATAAATAATCTGTTAAAAATAAATTAGGTAAATGTAAATGGAATAGACAACTATACATGAACTTGTTATGTAATTTGAAATCTTAAAGTCATGTTAGGCATGGTGCTGTTTGCCTACAGTCCCTTCAGAGGCTGAGCAAGAAGATAGATTGATCTCAAGAATTTTTGTTTTTTGGAGACAGAGTCTTACTCTGTCGCCCTGGGTAGAGTGCCATGGCATCATCATAGCTCACAGCAGTCTCAAACTCTTGAGCTCGAGCAATCCTCTTGCCTCAGGTTTTCTAGTTTTAGTAGAGTAGGAATCTCGCTCTTGCTCAGGCTGGTCTTGAACTCCTGAGCTCAAGCAATCCATCTGCCTCTGCCATCCAGAGTGGATCCAAGGGACTTTAGATAGCTGTGAGCTATGAGCGCCACACTGCACTTTAGTCCAGGCAGTGGTATGAGACCATGTCTAAAAAAAAAACAAAAACAAAAGTTCTCATTAAATGTCTGGATAATTTCCAAATAAGATTTAAATAGAAACTGAAACAAACTGCTGAACATAAGTAAATGTTTGTTCTTGGCTTCTTAAAATTTCACAGGAAAACTAAATATACTTGTGTCTATTAATATACATGAAAAATTATGAAGAAACATGGTTTTAAAAATTATACAATTGGGCCAGGCGGGGTGGCTCACGCCTGTAATTCTAGCACTCTGGGAGCCTGAGGCAGGTGGATTACTTGAGCTTGGGAGTTGAGACCAGCCTGAGCAAGAGCAAGACCCCGTCTCTAAAAAAAGCCAGATGTTGTGGCCAGCACCTGTAGTCTCAGATAATTAGGGCTGAGGCTGGAAGATTGCTTGAACCCAGGATTTTGAGTTGCTATGAGCTGGGCTGATACCATAGCACTCTACCCTGGGCAACAGAGTGAGACTCCGTCTCAAAAAAAAAAAAAAATTTATTATTGTTTTGTCTA